TGGTCTAAAGTATAGTTCAAGTCCATCATTTTCTTATTGATTTTCTCTCTGGATTATCTAGCCATTGTTCAAAGTGGCGATGCTGAAGTCCCCGATAATTGTATTGTTATCCCTCCCTCCCTTCTGATCTGTTAATATTTGCGTTAGATATTTAGGTGCTCCAATGTCAGGTGCCATTGTATTTACAATTGTTATGTCCTCTTGATGAGTTGAGCTCTTTACCATTATTTATGACCTTACTGGTCTCTTGTTACAGTTTTTGAATTAAAGTCTATTTTGTATGATATAAGTATAACTACTGCTGCTTTCTTTTGTTTTCTATTTGTATGGAATTTTTAAAAAATCCCTTCACTTTGAGCCTTTATGTGTCTCTAACTGAAGTGACTCTATTATAAGCAGCATATATTTGGATCTTATTTTTTATACTGTTAGTCAATTTCTGTCCTTTGAAGGGGGACTTTAATCCATTTACATTCAGAGTAACTTGATAAGTAAGGACTTATTTCTACCATCTTATTGTTTTCTGGCCCTTTTGTAATTACCTTGTTTCTTTGTTTCTGTCTTGGTGTTTTCCTCTGTTAATTGATTATTTTCCATAGTTGTATGCTTTGATTCTCTTTTCTTTTTCTTTTGTGTATCTTCTGTAGGTTTTTGCTTTGTGGTGACCATGAAGCTTACATAAACATCTTAGGTTTATTTTATGCTAACCGTCTATTTTATGCTAACAACTTAATGTCAATGGCATACAAAAACTCTCTTTTTATTCCCTCCCTACTTTTAGTTTTTGATGTTACAGTTTACCTCTTTTTATATTGTATTCATTAACAAATTGTTATATGTAGCCACAATAGATTCCTTTCTAATTTTCTTTTGTGTATTTAGCATAAATTTTTACCTTGTGATTATCATGAGGTTCATATATATCATTCTATATATATAAAACTGTCTATTTTAAGTCGATAACAACTTAAATTTGAATACATTTCAACACTGTACATTTTTAACCTCCCCCATGTTTTATGTTTTTGATGTCACATTTTACATCTTTTTATTTTATGTATCCCCTAACTAATTATTGTAGTTTTAGTTAATTTTACTACTTTTGTCTTTTTTACTAGCTTTATAAGTGATTAATCCATTACTTTTATAATATGTTTAACTTTTGCTATGAGATTTTTACATTTGCATGATTTCTTGTCATTAATCAGTATAATTTCTTTTCAGCTGAAAGAAGTCTCTTTAATATTTCTTGTAAGACCTGTTTAGTGGTGATGAACTCCTTTAGCTTTTGCTTAGCTGGGGAACTCTACCTCTGTTCTGAATAATAATCTCACTGTGGGTGAATATTCTTTCCCTAAAGTACTTTGAGAATTTCATGCCACCACTTTTTGGCTTACAGAGTTGCTGCTAAAAATATCTACTGATAGCCTTATTGGTTTCCCTTGCATGTAGTAAGTTCTTTTTCCTTATGCTGCATTTAGGAGTGTTTCCTTATCTTTATCTTTTGACATTTTAGTTATAGCGTGTCTTGGTGTAAATCTCTTTGAATTAATCTTTTTTGGAACTCTCTGTGCTTCCTGAGCATAGATGTCTCTTTCCTTCCTAGAATAGGAAATTTTTCAGCCATTATTTATTCAAATAAGTTTTCTGCCTCTTCTCTTTCTGGGGCCTCTATAATGTGTGTATTATTCTATTTGATCTTGTCCCATAGGTCCTTTAAGGGATTTTCGCTTGTTAAAATTATTTTTTCTTTTTTGTTGCTCTGTCTGGGTGAGTTCCATTGCTTTGTTTTCTAGCTTGCTGATCTGTTTTTCTGCTTCTTCCAATTTGCTTTTGAACCCCTGTAATGTACTTTTCAGTGTAGTTACTGTATTTTTCAGTTCTGACTTATGTTTGGTATTTTCTTATGTTTTCTCTCTGTTGAAGTTCTTTCTGTGCACATCCCTTCTTCTCCTGAGTTTGGTAAGCATCTTTATGAAAGTTATTTGGAACTCTTTATCAGGTAGATTACTTATCTCCATTTCATCAAGGTCTTTTTCTGAGGTTTTGTCTTGTTCTTTCATTTGGAACATGTTTTTCTGTCTCCTCATTTTAACTGATTCTTTGTGTTTGTTTCTGTGTATTAGACAAAAGAGCTACCTCTGTTGTAGGAGTATTGTGGGAGTGGTATTATGTAAGGGATGACCCATGGGAGTCAGAAACACAATCCCCTTCTGGCCACTAAAACCAGGGGCTCCCTGAGTTTTCCCTGTGGGGGCTGTGTGCACCCTCTGACTGTGGTGTGGCTGAGCTGTGGTGGGGTGGGTGGGTGGGTGGGATTCTTGCCCAGGCTGTCTGTGATATATTTTTGGCAGGAGTTGGGAGCTGGCGAGGATGTGGCACTTGTCTGGCTGGCTAAGACTTGACTGTGACATGGGATGTGGGGTGGTGCTTGCCTGGCTGGTTGTGATGTGCTGTGATGTGGGATGGGAGTCCCACATGTGCTAGGAGGTTGGAAGGCGATTGCCTAAATGGCACTTATCCACACCAGCGTTAGTAAGGTACAGTGAGATTGCAAAAATTGTACCTGCCAGTGCTTCTGTCTTTAGAGAAAGCCCTAACAGGTTCCTTTCTTTTTGGCATTTGCTTTAGGATTAGTGTGTCTCCTTCACATATGGTCTAGGCACTTTTCAAACTTCTGCTTTTAATACCATAAGATCCGGTAATTCCACTACTGGGTATTTACTCACAGAAAATGAAAATACTAATTCAAAAAGATAATGCACCCCCACGTTTATAGAAGCATTATTTCCAATAGCCAAGATATGGAGCAATCTAAATGTCCACCAAAAGATGAATAAAGAAGATGTGGTGTGTATATATATATACCATGGAATGTTATTCAACCATAAAAAGAATGAGCTCTTGCCATTTGCAACAACATGGTTGGACCTAGAGGGTATTATGCTAAGTGAAGTAAGTCATACAGAGAAAGGCAACTACCATATGATTTCACTTTATATGGAATCTAAATGCACCCATACACACATATGCAAAAGAACAAATAAACAAACAAAAGACAGAAACAGACCCATAAATACAGAGAACAAATGGGTGATTATCAGAGAGAGGATGGTAGAGCTACAGGTGGTTATCAGAGAGAAGGAAGGCTTCCAGCTATGGGATGAATAAGTCATGAGGATGAATGCACAGTATAGGGAACATGGTCAATGATATCTTAATAGCATTGTATGGTGACAGATTGTAGCTATATTTGTAGTGAACATAGCATAATGTATAGAATTGTAGAATCACTATTTTTTATATTAAAACTAATATAACATTGTTTGTTAACTATATTTCACTTAAAAAAAAGATTAAAAATTCCCTCCGAAACAAACAAACAAACAAACAAACAAATATATCGCTGCTTTTGCCTTGGGTCCTGGGGCAAGCAGGTCTGTAAGTGAGTCCTTAAGGGCAGGTTCTCCATTCCCTACAGTTCTGGACATAATCCCTGATGGTTTTCTGTTTTGGGGGCTGGTCTCTCAGGTACAGGACCCCAAGAGTTGGGGTGCCTAATGTGGGGTGAAAACTCCTTGCTCCTTGGGGGGAAGTTCCATGTTTTTGAGATTTCATTCTGACTGTAGATTGTAACTCTTTGGGTGGGGTTTTTAGTGAGAGCGTATCTCTGCCTCTCCTACCAAACTCAGTGTGGCTTTTTTTGGTTGTGGAGATGCTGTTCATCTACTTTTTAGGATTTTTTCAGAGAAAATTATTCCATATGTAATTGTAGATTTGTTGTGTCCATAGGAGGAAGTGTGTTCAGTATCTTCCTATGCCAACATCTTGGACCCAACACCAGGAGATTTCTTATAGGGTCTTCCTGACAGGAAATATAACAATTCAGCAACTAGACAAGTATTTTTGAGACCCAGCCTGTAATACTATAGGCAGAACATGATCAGCCTGTATCCTCTATGGGAGTATTTTAAAAGTACCACGTCTGGGTCCTATCCACAAGCAATTAAGTTAGGATTTCTGAGGTGTGAGGCTTGGACATTGGGGTTTTTAAAAAGCTTTCATGTTATTTTAATGCTATTTAGAGTAAAGAATGATTCTTCTTTTCTATTTTCCTTTTTTAGTTTTCACCCAGGAAATATTTTATGAATTTTTTCTTTACATATGGCACTTTTTACTTTTTGTTATTTATAACTCAGCATAGATTGAAGTATAAAAATTATCACCAAATGCCATGGCCATTTTACCTACTAGTATCACCACTCAACTTTTTTGTGTAGATTTGTCTTTATATGATTACATAATTAGCATGTTCGAGGATTGTGTTTCTTTCTACTTTTCTATTCCTGAAGTTAAATTTTAGGGTAAGATTAGTACTCTATTACTATATTAGTAAAAAAAGTCACTAGAAAGAGAAAGTTGTATTTTGTAAGTGGGATGCCATTTCATAGATACTGCCATTCTTTTGAGGTACAGACCACATTTTGATGTGGTGACATTTCTTAGCAAAATGAAAAGCCTTAAGTAGTTAAATACCTTTTGGAATGATTAATAAAATTGCTAACTGTTCTTTCCTGCTGTGGGCAATGTGCTTAGATCTTTGACATCAAATTACAGATATTAGTAATTATGTAGTTAGAGTATTTAAGCTAAAAAGACAGAAAAAAGGGACATCTAAAGCAAGAGAAATAATATTTTTTCCCACAGACTTACTTTGGAATATTTTGAATATATTATCTCATTTCTCCCCAATTTACAGATGTGATTCAAGAGGTTCATGTCTTTTCTCTAGATTTTTAAACTAGTATGTGGGTTGAATAAGGGTTTGATGAGAGCTCTGTTTGATTCTAGAACCCATGTTCCCACCCTCCTCCCCACCAATATTACATTGTCTCTGTGTCCTTAGAAAATCTGGGAATGTGTATACATAAGTGATATTTGAAATAATTTTTATATGTTTCTTTTATCTATGATATGATTTAGCCTTTTTTTCCCCCCAGGATAATACCCTTCAAGCTGAATGGCCCTCAGCAGATGAATCTACCACCAGCAGTATTTCACCACTTGATTTCAGCTCTGGTCCTCCCTCAACCACTGGCAGGGAACTCTGGTCAGAGAGCCCTTTGGGTGATTTAGTGTCTACACCCAAATTAGCCTTTCCCTCGAAGGTGGGCCTCAGTTCTTCCCCAGAGGTTTTAGACGTTAGCAGCTTGACTCTTCATTCTGTCACCCCAGCAGTGTTTCAGACTGGCTTGCCTGTGGTTTCTAACGAAAGGACTTCTGGATCTCACCTCCTAGAAGATGGTAAGGGACTCTATTTACTTTTCACAGTTTTATACTTTATTATATCAGATGACAGGGTTTTGAAGAGAGAAAGAGACTAGGGTTAATAGAAAAACATAATAGCGTCTATTAGGAGGAAATGGCTTGGGGAAGTCATATGAGAGAGGGAATGGTCAGATTTAATTGGTTGGAATGGAGACTCCAAATAGGTAAATAATAAAGAATGAACTTGGTGGGCTGGGGTGGGTATCAATTAATAGATATTTTGAACATCCTATTAAAGGATACATAATTTAATTAAATTACTATTAAAGAACTACTTTACTTGAATAGTGTAGGATAAACAAATAAAATCAAAGAAGATTATTATAGTAGCTTTTAGTAGGATTGATTATGGGGGCCATGTATAGAGACTTTAGCTTGCATTAGGCTTGTGAAAGGGAGAACTGAACTAGGGTAGCTACAGCAGAGACTAAGAAATGAAAATCAAGTGGGTGATTTAAATGTTGTGGAGGAAAAGAAAGATCAATGTGACTTATGAATGGAGTATATAATGAAAGAAGAAGTTGAACAAAGATATAAATAATGGGTCCAGGATTTTAAACATTGGGTGAATTTGGAAGTGAATGGGCAGTAAGGGAAATGGGAATTCAAAGACAAAATTTCCTAAGGGATTTTCTCCCTTAGTTTTCACTAAATTCAGTCTTTGGTGTCAATATGGTAACCAGCAGTTCTTCATTTCCATGGAGTAAATACATCAAGTGTTTGAAGAGGAATCAGTTCAATAGCTGAGATCTTGTTTTACTCAAGGATAGGGGGTATATTCATGATGATTGTACATATCACACAGACATAATGAGATCTTCTTGCTTGCTAATTTATCAGAGTAAAAATAAGCAACTGAATCTCCTAACTTAATGAGAAAAAAAACACAAGTAGCCAGCTTTATTAGGAGAACTGGGAATACATTTTGGCAACTCTGTAGATTAATTAATAGAAAATTTTATTTTTAGGATTAATCAAAGTTGAAGGGTCAGAAGATTTTCTTTCTGTTCAGCCATTGCCTTCAAGTCCATTCACTCAGCCGGTGCCAAAGGAGACGATACCATCTGTGGAAGATTCTGGAGTGTCTTTGACATCCTCACCATATCTGACTTCCTCTGTTACTTTAGATCTTGCTAAAGAAGTAGCTATATCTTCTGGCTTGGACTCTTTGGCCTCCAAAGTCAAAGGCCAATTAGAAGTGAGCACTTTGATGCCAGACACATCCATAGAAAAAGGGTTTATATTTGAAAGTGGTTTAGGCTCAGGGTCTGGGCAAAATGTAGATCAGATTACTTGGCCATGGAATGAGACTTCATTAGAGAAGAGTTATGAACCACTGTCTAAATCATGGCTTGAAGATCAGGAGTCACTTTTGCCAACTGAGGTTATAGATGAGAAATTAGTTCTAGATGACAAAATAGATTCTACAGGACAAAGTATTGACTATTTAAAATATGGGCATTTTGATAAATCCACAAAATTTGCAGAGGAAGAGCTCATTGGTGGACCTACTGTGCCCATTTCTGTAGAGACCACAACTCAATCTGCATCTCTAGTTCTCTCCAAACAAATATCAGAGGTACCTGACATTGATTATTACCTGGTTACCAAAGCACCTCTCCTACTGACATCTACAGCAACCTCTGCTTCTACTGATAAACCAGATATACTGTTTCTAAAGGAGGATGTGGAACAAACTACAGAGTCATCCAACCATGAATGGTTTGATAACGAGATTTCAGTAATTAAGCCAGACATGCAACAGTTGGGGACTATATTGCCAGAATCAGATGTAGTTCGGGCAAGAACTTCTTCCCTAGGGATATTGTTCAGAGACATGTTGGCAAGTACACCACAGACTACTGACAAGCTCTGGTTGAAATCTTCCATAACACAGTCTACCAAATTGTCTCCAACCACCAGCTCCACCCTGCTAGAAGATGAAGTAATTATGGGTGTTCAGGATATTTCATTAGAACTGGACCGGATAGGCACAGATTACTATCAGCCTGAGCTAATCCCAGAGGAAAATGGCAAGGTTGGTAGTTATGTGGAAATGTCTACAAATGTCCACTCCACAGAGAGGGCTATTGTGGTACAGCCCACAGAAGGAGGTGACTTGACTCATACCCAGACTGCAGGAGCTTTGTTGGTTTTCTTTAGCCTCCGAGTGACAAACATGATGTTTTCGGAAGATCTGTTTAATAAAAACTCTTTGGAGTATAAAGCACTGGAACAAAGATTTTTGGAACTGGTAAGCACTAGAAGTGGAACATGGGCATTAGTGAATAATCATGTATGAACTAACTCTCTTTTCCCTAAACACATAAGATCTGAGCCAATGAAAGTGTGGTCTGCTGTGAACATAGATTTACAAATAGTGTCATGGCCTAGGGTTGGTAGAAAAACAATAAGACAGTTAGATACTAAGAAATGGAAAACACCAACATGGCACGAGGGTGATATAGAAACTTAGATACTGAAGATTGAATTCCATGAATTATGGAACTGAAGCTTAAAAATTTTTTTCACGTGTTACTGTAAGACCAGTGTTTTGTATGTACTTTTGATACCTACACTGTTGTGATTTTTTAGTGAAACAGAGAGAATAAACTCTCTGGGTGTCTAAAACTGTCAGTTCCATGGGTTTCTAAATAGCACTGGGAAAATCTCTCACTCTCAAATAACTCAAAATTTATACTATTATGGATGAACAGTTTAAATAGTGTAAATAGAATATAGTTTGGAAAAGTAGGGGGGGGCTCATCCTTTTGTTTGAGTGGGGGTTGTTATATTTTGAACAAAATGCAAAACCTTGTAAACTGACTACTTTTCTTGTATTGTAGCTGGTTCCCTATCTCCAGTCAAATCTCACAGGATTCCAGAATTTAGAAATCCTGAACTTTAGAAATGGCAGTATTGTTGTAAACAGCCGAATGAAGTTCATGAAGTCTGTCCCTCTTAATGTCAACAATGCTGTATACATGATCCTGGAAGACTTTTGCACCACTGCCTATGAGACCATGAACTTGGCTATTGATAAATTCTCCCTTGATGTAGAATCAGGTAATGGTATTGAATACTATGGTGGTTTCTAAGTGGAATCCAGTGATTATTCTTGTGTATTTTCCTTTATACTGAGTCAAGGTGAATTTATTACTTAAAGGGAAAAGAATACTATGTCAGGCAAAATATTCACATCTTGGTAATTATTAAATGATCTTTTCATAGGACATCAATATCATTCTTATTTTTTTCAGAGAATATAATAGTAAATGTATTTTTATTTTTTATTTTTTTAATTTTTCATTTCTTATTATTATGTTCAGTTAGCCAACGTATACTTTTTGGTCATTAGTTTTTGCTCATTCTCTTTTTAAAAAGGTTGTTCACACACATTATCTTTTTTACCTCCCATTCCCTTTTCTACCTATTCTGTCTAGCGCTAGCTCTCTCTTTTACTTATCCACTGGATTTGCTCTGGCTGCATCTCTAAAGTTGCCAAGCTCAAATGATTTTGGACTCTCTTTCCTTCTATATTATTTTCCTAAGCTATTTTATCCATTTCCATTGTTGTAAGTCTTATATAACTGTCAATAATTTTTTTTGCAAAAAAAATTATTTTATTTATTTATTTATTTTATTTTTATTTGCAAATCAGACTTACCTTCTGAGCTCCAGAATCAAAATCTAACTATGTATTTGATGATCTCAGTTTAGATGTATCATCCTATGTATATCAAACTTAAGATATCTAAGAATGAGCTCTTCTTTTCTGTATCTCTCCATCTTTTAACTAAATCTAATATTTCTGTCAGCTTCACCATCTTGAGAAATGGAAGTCATGTCCATTCAGCTACTTAAGTCAGAAACCTAGGAAGTCATTCTGATACCTGTTTCTATTACCCCCAAACTTATGTTGATTCTGAATATTCTAAATATATCTCGAATCTGTGTACTTCTCTTTCTCCAGTGCTGCTAGTCTAGGCCAATCATTCATCAGCCCACATTTGAACCAGTTTCCCTACTACTTCTCCCCTATCCCTTCTCCCAGATAGCAGCCAGGGTACTCTTTCTAAAACATCAGATTATTTCACTTTCCTGCTTGAAATATTTCAGTGGCTTCCTGGTTCAACAGCCACAAGGTCTGGTCCCTCTTTTCCTCCAGTATTATCCAGTGAAACTAACTTCTTGGCTAAAGTCCTCATATTCAAGAAACTTTTTTTTTTTTTTTTTTTTTTTTTTTTTTGCTTTAAAGCCTTTGTGCCAAGTATCTTTAATCTCCAGAATAGCAAGGAAATCAGTAATTCTCAAAACCATATTAGATTCTTTGGAAACAGACTATGCTATGCTATTTATTTATTTATTTATTTATTTATGCTAAACATCATGCTTTTTCATCTAGATGAGCTTATGGATTATTTCCACCTATTTCATCTGTCTTTTGTATCCTTGTCACTGTTTGCCATTCACAGGTTGCCATTCACCAGTGAACAACATATAGTGAAACCAAATGGGATGAAAGACCCATCATGGTCAATGTCTTACATCATTTTTGATGGGTTATTGTCCTAATTATTTAAAATTTTTATTTTTATTCTCACCTAATCAAAGAAAAATAAAGTTACTGAAATCAAAATATTATTAAGAATGGCCTGAGGAGGTCCAGGGCTGATATATTTTTCTAACATTGGCTTCCACAAATCTCAAATGTTCTTAGCTGCTCTTATTGGGTTATACCCACTCCTGAGGCTCCTATCAATTGTCTGGGCTTTGTCTCCTGTTCTATGTTCTCACTGTGGGATAGGGCATTTAGCATCACATATAGAATAGAGGTAGCCTATGGTAGGTTAGGGTTGGTGCAAATGAATGATACATGAAAACTGTGTTGAATTTAGATTGACAACTACATGGCATAGGTTTTAAAGTGTCTTCCTGCTCCCTTGGTAAACAATGAAAAAGCTTACCCAGGTCATTGAGTTTTATGCTTTGGCTCTGGATTTTAGAGATATTTAACAACAGCTCATCAATCCAAGGATGAGTCAGAATTTTTTTGTGGTATTAGTGGTGATGGTGTATTTTAATGTTTCAGGAAGGGGGGTGTCCCTTGTTACTTTGGAGGGGGGTAGTGTTACTAGAGGGACTTCATGTACTCGTTCCTATGTTTTGCCTTTTCTTGTATTATTCTCTAGTTTGTTTTTTTTTTTTTTTTTTTGATGTTTTAGGTGATCAAGCCAACCTTTGCAAGTTTCAGGCATGCAATGAATTTTCTGAGTGTGTAGTCAACCCCTGGAGTGGAGAAGCAGAGTGTAGATGCTTCCCTGGGTACCTGAGTGTGGAAGAACTACCTTGTCAGAGTCTCTGTGATCTACAGCCTGACTTCTGCTTGAATGATGGAAAATGTGACATTATGCCTGGACATGGGGCCATTTGTCGGTATGTTGTAGTTAGAGATTTTGGTTTCCCAAGGTTATAGATACTTCCTCCATATAGATACTTCTTGAATGGGTGTAGACCCATCCAAGAAGATGAGTCTACACCTATGATTTTAGGATAATCACAGCAATATTTATTATAGAAGTTTTATCTAGGCAATAGATGGATGCCCTCTAGTTCTCATGTGGAGAGTCAGTTAATAGGGCTCAATTATACCCAGATCGATTGGTTATTTTATTTTTATACTTTTAAGATGCTGTAAGAAAAACATTATTTAAATGTGTCTTAATTAGAGTACTTGAAGTAGTTGGAGATCTTTGTGTTGGTTCTTAGTGGTGATGATAAGGCAATTTGTACTCAAATTAGGTTTAGGCTAAGATAATACTTTACACTGTGAAATTTTATTGTCTACTTGGATATTTTCTTAATGCCTGTGGCTTTCTCGTGGTCCTATTGAATGTTTGAAAATAAAGAAAAGCAAGTATTTAAAGTCTTTGAAATTGTAACAAATATATTTTAAGTAACTAAGATCCATTTTTTAATAAGGCAGAACTACAGAAACTCCAGCAGACAGATGAACAGATTTAGGTAGCCTCACCATTCTCCCCAGTCATTTTCCTTAAACAAAATAGAACAAATCAGCCTCTGAATCACACAACAACTAGTCACATGGGTGTAAAAGGAGAGAATGCTGAGAACAAGCAGAGAAACATGAATAAGAGGACAGTTTATGGATGTCAAGATGTGCAAATATTATAGATGCCAGACCCAGAGGATATAAGTGGGAATGATCCAGACTCTTCTGTTCAGAAAAGTATAAAGTTTAGCTAGAAAACTCAGAGGAAAAATAGTCTTTTTATTTTCAGAGAAGTTAATATTATTCTGAAAACCAGTCATTTCCTTGCTGCTCTCAGAATTGATGACACTTTTGCACAAGTCTGGAGCCTGGGGGTTGCAGGCATCTCTGTGGTATGGTGAAAGAACACTAGGAGTCTAGAGACCTGGTTTCTAGACCCAGAGCTGTTGCTGACTAATTGTGTGATCTCAATCACTTTCCTTTCTAGGTCTGTTTTTTGTTAAGTATAAATAAGGAATTTAATTAGAACACTTTACATCTACCCAATCTTTTATTTAGTCATTTACAAATAGTCAGGGAGGACATACTGGGTCTGTATGAAGCACTAATCACAACCTTAAATTGTATGATCATTGAATCTATTATGTTCACTTCTTTTTAAAAAATTTTAAAAAGATTTTATTTATTTATTTCTGGAGAGAGATCACAAGTAGGCAGAGTGGCAGGGAGAGGGAGAAGCAGGTTCCCCACTGAGCAGAAAGCCCACTGTGGGGTTCCATCCCAGGACCCTGGGATCATGACCTGAGCTGAAGGCAGATGCTTAACTGACTGAGCCACCCAGGTGTCCCTTTTATGTTCACTTCTGTATTGAAGCTTCACTTGGTCAGCATTTATTTTGCTACCTTTCCCCAGTCCCGCCAAAGGTTCTGCCATTGTTGTTTTCAACACAGTGATTCTGTTTTTGGACTTTGTCACTTCTCATTACAGATGCCGGGTGGGTGAGAATTGGTGGTACCGAGGTGAGCACTGTGAGGAGTTTGTGTCTGAGCCCTTGGTCATAGGCATCACCATTGCCTCGGTGGTTGGGCTTGTCCTCGTCTCTTCTGCTTTTGTCTTCTTCTTTGTCAGGACTCTTCATGTTCATTATGATAGGAGAGAAACAGAGAGGCCCATCAGGTAAATAAGAAAAATTACTCTCTAATGGAATAAAATGTTCCTTTTAGTCATTTATTTTGTACTTCTTATATGCCAAATATTGGATAATGATCTGGGTGGAGGAGAGCTATAAAGTTGAATAAAAACATGGTCCCTGGCCTGAAAGGGTGTTAGATTAGAAACAAACATAAGCAGTGGTATGAATAAGATGAGGGATAAATTGGTTTTGCCTGGGAAGAGAGTCTTAGAAGTTTTAATGATGGTTATGATATTTAGCCGGACATAAGAGTAGATATTTGCTCTGGGGGTGGCTAATTGAATGAGCATGAGCAAAGTCACAGGAATCCATGAATTTCAAGGCACACTGAAGGAGTGGCATTGTTGAATGTGGCCAAAATGCCTCTTTCCTGGTGGGAAGTAGTTAGAAGGGTGATGGACATGAGGTGAAGCCCTTGTGTGAGGACCATATTTGTTAGTTTGTTCCTTTTGGTTCATTCCAGTGGTAATTAGCCATATTTCAATGTATTTATTTATTATTTAAGAAAGAAGATTTATTTGTTTATTTGAGAGAGAGTGTGCATGCACATGCATGACTGGGTAGAGTAGCAGAGGGAGAGAATCCTCAAGTAGACTCCCCACTGAGCACAGAGGCCATGATGCGGCTAGATCTCACCACCCATGAGATCATGACCTAAGCTGAAACCAAGAGTCAGAGACTCAACCGACTGGGCCGCCCAGGCACCCCATAATTAGCCAGATTTTAAATCTGGCTAAGAATCTGACAAGAACTGAAATCTGGTTCTCTGTTTAGTAGCTTCATTAATGGGAGAAATAAAACCTGCTCAACTTTGGAGGCTACGGATTCAGAGATCTTTTAGTTGTTATGTGATTGAGATCCCCGCTTGTACTTTGCTTCTGTGCTTCTAGAGTCTATAAGGGCTACGCTTCATGTTCAGGTTACCTTCCCTCACCCTCTGGCATGGCTAAGGAGTTACCTCTCCTAGGTGCCTAGAGTCCTCAGGAGGACATACTTCCATCATTGTTCTTAAACTTTTTATTGACTCACTTTGCATTAGAGTATAATCTCATTCAGGACAGAGTTCCACCAAAGTCTTCATGTCATCAGCATCTGTGATAACCCTAGGCACATAATCAATGCTGAGCACATATTTGTAGATCTGAATTGAATTTCACTAAGGTCTCCCTACATTTATTTTCTATCAAATTCTCTGTGTGGTTACACGGTTACATACTGATTTTGATTTACATACTCTGGGAATGATGGAGCTGTATTCATTTAATGATATGCTATCTGCTGACAGACATATTTCCTCATTAACATTTATTGATAAACACTGTGGGGCAAATAAAGATGGATGATACATGAAACAGTAATTCCATAGGGCCCTTGCCATGTAGTTGGGGAGATGATAATGACAACACCTGATCTGGATATTTCTCATAGTCATGTTCCTACATTTGTATCTAGTTCACCTCTTTTTCTTGCCCAACAGAAATCTTACCACAGGTAAATAGTCTTCTAAGTAGTTGAGCGTCTGAAGAACCTGAACCAACCGTACTTTCCTTTTTGTGGTTCCAGCAGGCAGCCCGACAGTCTCTCATCCATTGAAAATGCTGTGAAGTACAATCCTGTGTATGAAAGCCATGTGGCTGGACCTGGGCAGTATGAAGGACCCTATCCTCAGCACCCCTTCTCTAGTTTTGCAGGTGGAGAGATTATTGGTGGTCTAAGCAGGGAAGAAATCCAGCAAATGTATGAGACCAGTGGGCTTTCCAGTGAGGTAGGAAACTTTGCTTTTCTGTTGCTGCTCTGCTGGGGTGTGTGTGTGTGTGTGTGTGTGAGCGTGCGTATATGTGTGTGCGTGTGTGCGTGTGTGTACATGCACACATGTGTGCACATCATGTACATGGGCTTCAGGAAAGGATGAAAAATATTTCATGATCAGTTTTTTTCCTCATGATATCTTTCAGGTGATGTGGTATGCAGGGGATATATAATTCTGAGCCGTAACTCATTTCCCACCCAGTGGCTTCTTTTTACATTATTAGCAAATGCTTTCTCTCTCCTCCCTCCCTTCCTTAGGAATATATCTTTGGGTTTTTAAGAGTGATTCCTGCAATATCCAAACCCCCCATCTCTCTGAAAAGGCCATCCTTTCCTATAGCTCTCCTCTGGATAGCCCAGAAAACTAGAACTCCTTCTAAAGAGCTGTTGAGGTTTTTCTAATGCAATTTACGGTCTTTTTTTTTTTTTCTTTTCTAAGGAAATTCAAGAAAGAATGAGAATTTTGGAACTGTATGCCAGTGATCCTGAGTTTGTAGCTTTCGTGAGAGAACATCAAATGTAAGCATCTGATATAGTCTTCTTCTCAGGTTCCTAGCAGGGTGCCTTCTAGTAGGGGCACCAGCGTGAGTACATAATTCCTGTCCACATGACGTGGGTTCCAGGGATAACCAATGTTTGTTGAGCTCTTTACAGTTCATATGCTTCCACACGGATTACTTCATTTATTCTTCATAATAGCTTTTTAAGTTGAACGTCTTGTATTTAAATTTTTAAAAAGATTTTATTGATTTATTTGAGAGAACAAGAGGGAGGGAGGGAGAGAGAGTCCATCTGAGGGTGGGGAGGGGCAGAGGGAGAAACAGAGCCCCTGCTCAGCAGGGAGCCTGATGTGGGGCTCAATCCCAGGACTTGGGGATCATGACCTGAGCTGAAGGCAGATGCTTAACCTACTAAGCCTCCTAGGTGCCCCTGTATTTAATTTTATAAATGAGGAGAGGAAACCTCGGAGAGATGAAGGGACTTAAGACCATAATGATAGCAAATGGCAGAGAAGATTTAAAACTAAGACACTGTTCTGTTCTAGAGATGCCTGGGCTGTGTCATATTTTCTATCTTGTTACCACAGATACCACCTGTGATTTAATGCTATGCAATATTTTTCATAGACAGTTTCTAAGAAAAGCACTTGAGCAGCCATAAATCCTCACATATTTTGATGTATCTTTCCATTTCCATCTTTGTAGACACTTGTCAGTATGCTTTGAATTACACAAATCTCATTAAGGTATACATTTTGTCCTTATAAAGTTCATCTTACATTTCCCTCTATCTCTTTCCATTTGCTTTTCTTAGCATGCATTTTGGGCAAGTGTCTGTAATTATTTTTCTTTGTTCCCCAGGATCCATAACCAGACTTAGGTTATAAAAATAAACTATCTTGTAAAGAGACCATTATGGACATTAATTGAGTATAGTGGGTGAGATATAATTTGGCTTTGATATTTGGTCCTGCTGCCCTCATAAAGGTACCTCCTTATGTATGGGTTCCACCGAGGCCAGATATTCTCATCTGGCTTTTAGAAGAGAAAAACCAGAGCAATTCATGCATGCTTACAGAAGAAATTGATGAAGGCTCATGATCACACACAGCTCTGATGGGAGCCGCTGCCCCTTTGCTCTGAATCCCTTTGTTCTGATAGGCAGCCCCTCACTCATGGTTCTGACTAATTGTAACCTAAGGGAACTGAAGAAGATGCTTATTTATTTATTTTTTTATAAACATATGATGTATTTTTAGCCCCAGGGGTACAGGCCTTGAATCACCAGGTTTACACACTTCACAGCACTCATCACAGCACACTCCCCCAATGTCCATAACCCCACCACCCTCTCCTGACCCCCTTCCCCCCAGCAACCCTCAGTTTGTTCTGCAAGATTAGGAGTCTTATGGTTTGTCTCCCTCCCGATCCCATCTTATTTCATTTATTCTTTTCCTACCCCCCAAGCCCCCCACGTTGCATCTCCATGAAGAAGATGCTTATTAATTTCATGTACATGGTGGACACTCCTTTAAAAATCTCTAAACATCTGAAAAAACTTAAAAATAAATAAATAAAAATAAAATAAAAAAGAAATGCAAAAAAAAAAAAAATCTCTGAACACTTACTTGGCCCCATTGTCAACCTTGCTGAATGATGTTAGAGCAATATTACTGGGAGTCTGTCTTTTAAAGACCAGGACTTCTACTCCTCCCTGAATCTCCAGCCAGCAGATGGCCTATTGCTCCATTTCAGTGGTATCCAATAGAAAGAACATGATTGATGTTTCCTAAGACTATTTTGAAGCTCCTTAGAGCCCTGAATGTGCTCCCTGAGTTAAAAATGTATTTCATCTAGACTAGGACCTCCAAAGAAAGGATTCAGGAGAGCCTAATTAGGGACACACAGATTAAGTACATGCTACAGTTCCTGATGGTAACTATCTGACATGGAAATAGAAATGAAAAAGAAAAAAAAAAGAAATAAAAAAAAAAAAAAAAATCAATGTAACAAAGAAGATTTAAACAAAAAGATCCTGTGAAACAAAAGAAAGCCCATGCAGACACTGTAACCTTAGGAGGGATGTTCATTGAGGGAAGACAGCATTGCAAAAATGTTAGGCATGCAGTCCATATGACATTTTCAATTTCACGTAGTCTCAGCATCTACGAGTATCCCAAGAAAAAGTAGGCTTGATTTAGAATTCATAAAAGCTTGACAGGGTCTTGACAGAGTGGGGTTTCTTTTTGTTGTTGTTGGTTTTGTTTGTTTGTCTTATTTGTTTTTTAACTTGGCAAAGCACAGGAAAACTTCCCTGCAAGGAAAGAAAATAGAAAGTATTGGCGGTTTTAGGAACATAGTTTGGTGATGTATTACAACAAAAGTGCATTACAGGGCATTCTTGCTTTTTCCATTAATTGTTCTCTGTTTTTTTTTTTTTTTTTTTTTTTTGGCAGGGAAGAGCTTTAATCAAAACTTCTATTTTGAAACTGATCAGAAGCCTAGAGAAGATGGAGATCCCTTGCTACCTCTGTCATTAACCTGGATTTTGAACTCTCTCGGAAGAAGAATTTTTTACTTAAAAAATAAGTTTGGGGACCAAATTTTTTTTTCCAGCTTAAAATTTCAGAATGTAATAAGAAATGTGGCAATTTTTATACCTGCAAAGACCAAAAGTTGTATTTAAAGAAACTGAAAACTGTATGAGTTCTGGGAAGTATTCTACAAGGAAAAAAATGGCCCGAGAGTTGGGGCTGGATTTGGGGTCTGCTTCTGAATCTCTGAAGGTGTGTCTCAGAAACAGTGGTTCAGGTTTCCCTGGAGGAAAATAAGGCAAGACTCTTTCAGGAGAAGGCAGGCTTAGTAAGTGAATATTTGGTAGCATGTTTGTTATTGTTAGAATATTGTGGAATGAGAAGCCTTTGAATTAGTTTTATAAAGTTTGTAGTCAGTCACTCATTTAAATAAAAAATATTAAGTATTTTTGGCAATTAGACTGCTGAAGGAAAAACAACACTTTTGCTATAGTATAGAATTAGGCTTGTACTTTTTCTACCAGAGATTTGAATTTCCTCAGCATTGAATCAAGACCACATTATTGTTAAGTATGTCAGTATCCTATTTTTTTTTTTTTTTGGTTGTCAAGGGCAATACATATGTATAGTGTTTAATGGGTTCCTATTAGATTGCAGATGAATTTAATCATATGGACAGGGAGGGAGTTGGTCAAAGTCATGGCACTGAGAATATACTTTGCTGATTGGTGGGTGGACTAAGTCGAACTAATGGGCTCCTTGACTCTTCCTCTGCTATCTCATGTTGTCCTAGGCAAGTCCTGGATTTTTCTAGTTCCTGGTATATTAATTGGGAAAGCAGCACTAACTACCTCACATAGTATAGGTTAGCTTGCTTATATTGCTTCTTCTTATATAATAGTTTGTGTCTAAATTCATTCCTGCTTACATGAAACATGACAGGACTTTTATTGCAATTAAAATTTTTAAAATTATATAGGTAGGAAACATCCACATATTATATAACTCTTAATTGAAAATGGAAGTTTTCCTCTTTCTCTCTAGTATATTTTCGAGTGGGTAGCTTTGGAGGGTGCAAGGAGAGGGCCAAATAATCTTCACTATTAATATCAAATTACATATACAAATAGCTTATTATTGATATAGTTATTTTATGTTAGATGTCTTCATGTTTGCCAAAAACAATCTTGAACATTTTGATTTCTTTCTAATCAGATTTAACTAGGTTAGACTGACTATAAGATAAAATACTTAATTCATGTATTTTTTTTTCTTAACTTGATGATTGCCAATGTCATTCATTATGGAGATATCCAAAACTAAATCTCTGAGTACATGGCATATTAAAACTATTGAAAGTCTAGAAGATATCCAGCTAGTTTGCAAAGTATGTATGGTGTGTGTTTGTATGAAGGTTCTGTATCTCGGTATTCTTTTTCATTTCCTACTCACTTAATGGATTTTCTACAAGTTCAGTGTAGACACAAGCCACTGCTCAGACATTTTCTACTGGGCTCATTTGAAAGGAATTGATAATTAATTATCTTTAAAGCATTATAAATGTTAATGATATTTGCCACTACTAAATGCTTAATTTTATTTCTGAAACTTTCAAAGATTTCTGTTTTAACCTTTTTGTGTTTCAAACTTTTTTCCTAAACTTATATGTGTTAAATGAAAAGAAAATTTGTCTTTATCACACATTAACCCTAGAATGCAACAGTTTGAATGTCTGCTTGCTGGCAGAGTTCTAGATGGGCATAAAAGGAGTCTGGGGCAAGTCACCACATGGAACATAGGAGAGGCACAAATTAAAAGAGCTAAAGAAGATTGTTGTTTTTTAGAGGCTAAGCAGTAAAGTGGGAATTTGAGAATCCTGACATGTCTCTGGCTCTCCCTTTTATATGACCTTTTTGTGTAAGCACAAATCATTCAGCCCTACATGAATGTCTGCTCCACACCTATTAAATGGAAGAATAAGGGAACTCCCACATCTCAGGGATAATGACCTTTGCCCTACTCTTGCTACAGCTGAACCACAGTGGGAAAGATCAGAGAATGCAGCTTCCAAGGTGACGATCCATAGGGCTAAAGGAGCTATTGCTCTAACGGGGCAGAGGACATTGAAAGAGCTTCTTTTTAAAAGAGCTTTCCCTGAGGCAATTTAATGGAATGTTCATTTAAAAGTATAAGGACTTGGGTGCCTGGGTGGCTCAGGTGGTTAAGTGACTGCCTTCGGCTTAGGTCATGATCCTGGAGTCCCCGAATCGAGTCCCACATGGGGCTCCCTGCTCGGCAGGGAGTCTGCTTCTCCCTCTGTCCCTCCCCCTTCTCATGCTCTCTCTCTCACAAATAAATAAATAAAATCTTTAAAAAATCTTAAAAAGTATAAGGAATTAACTCTCCTTTGAGTTGTATGGTTTTTGGAACATGCTCATTAACCTAGTAATAGAATATTTAATAAAAATATCACCTTACTTAAAAACAATAAAATGCAGTTAGCACTAAAAGTATATGGTAAATAATTCACACTTTTTTGATTCATAAAGTGCTTTGGAGTCTTGTACATATAACCTTCATAACTGAATATACATACACAATTACTGTTTTCATGGGTCTGGATGAAGGGGAATTTGTTTGATTAATAAGACTCAATTTCTACCATGGCAATGTTTAAGGATTTTTTTTCACATTTATGTGCCCTAAAGTCCCATTCAGTACTTAATAAAACAAGTATAGGGTTTACCTGATTTTATTCCTACTTTGTTTTTTCTTCTCCAGTATCTAGTTATTATTATGGGTTGGCAGCTCCCCCTTCCCCTCCTTTTGGTTACTGCAGAGTGATTATAATGTAGTTGAACAACCTGACTCTCTAGAAGCTTTCGTTTTTTTCCTCATTTGCTTAAGGTAGGGATGGAAAGAAAACCAATGGAGTTGGTTAAAGAAAGATTGCTGGGGTATGGTAGCTAGTACCAGCTGTTCTGTAACTAGAGAAGGAATTGGTGACCTGTCTAAAAAGAACAGATAATACATAAATATGGTATTAGCAGTCCAAATCAATCCTGCATGGGAAAGGCAGAAGGAAAATCAGCTACCCCCGAAAGCATCAGCATCAGAAACCTCAATTTTCAGTCTCTTTCTTTCCTACATTTTCATCTTCGCTTTCTGGCAACAGGGCATGAGGAAGTTCTAAATCAATCTTGGAAAGAGGAAAGTGGTCTTAATTTGATTCCAAAGACTGAATTTTAAAAACACAAACAGGGAGAAATGTGTCTAATAAAAATGCCTGTTAACTGATCAATTAATGACCTAGTTTTAGTTACTAATTAGGAGAAACAGTGAGTAATAACTCTATTTTTAATAAGCTTTGTTCAGGATAAGCCCTAGTCACTGTTAGCTCTTGGCCTTGTGATGCTGGTCAGCTTTCTAGGTCCTTCAGTATATGTCCCATCTGAGCTAGTTCTTATTGGACTCTGTTCCATGAACTATAAATTATCTTTTCACCAACATATACACATATTTTGTGTCCCCCACTTAAAAAAAAATTATTTATTTATTTATTTATTTATTTATTTATTTATTTTAGAGAGCATGCTTGGGTGGGGTGGGGGGCAGACGGGAAGAGAGAGAGAGAGAGAATCTCAAGTTGATTTCTCACCAAGTGGAAATCCCAATGCAGGGTTCAATCTTATGAGATCCTGACCTGAGCTGAAACTGAAAGATGAATGCTCAACAGACTGAGCCACCCCAGTGCCCTGTGTCTTTCCCCTCTGCCCCGCCCCCTCCCTTCTTATTTTGATGCAAATAAATCTGTGCTAAGATAATAATACCTGTTAAGTAATCATGATTTTTTTTTAAAGATTTTATTTATTTATTTGACAGACAGAGATCACAAGTAGGCAGAGAAGCAGGCAGAGAGAGAGAGGAGGAAACAGACTCTCTAGGCAGAGAAGCAGGCAGAGAGAGATAGGAGGAAACAGACTCTCTGCTGAGCAGAGACCCAGGACCTGGGATCATGACCTGAGCTGAAGGCAGAGGCTTAAACCCACTGAGCCACCCAGGCGCCCCAAGGAATCATGATTTTTAAAAAAGATTTTATTTATTTATTTGAGAGAAAGATAGCACATGAGCAGGGAGGGGCAGAGGGAGAGGGGGAAGAATTTGAACCAGGCTCTGCACTGAGAGCAGAGCCCTATGTTGGGGATCAATCCCAGGACCCTGAGATCATGACCTGAGCAGAAAATCAAAGTTGGATGCTTAACCAACTGAGCCACCCAGGTGCCCCAAGGAATCATGATTTTCTAAGTAACAACAAAATGGTATGTGGGCTTTCTGGATATAGTTCATGTTTCCAAATGAATAACTCTTATTGTCAATATTGCACACACCATGGCAGATTTGGGGAAGAATATGCATATTTTTGGCAGGTGAGTGTTTGAATGAGTCTCCAAAAACCCTTTTCTGTACCATGTACATGCTTTTATTCCATTATTCATTAATGCTTTTATAATTTTTAAAATTTGTGTCATTGACTTTCCACTAAACTGAGTTCTTTAATGTTAGAGTCATATCTTGCTAATTTGTTATTCATGAAACCAAAGAATGGTTTGCCTACTGTAGACAGAGTTTGTCTTCAGTAAATATTCACTCAATTGGCTTGAGATAGTGAGTTATATGTAGATACCTATTTTATCACTAGCAGGCAAATGATTAATTTGTATCTTGGGAACAAATTAGGTGGACCTGTGAGGGGTTTACAAACTGTTTGGCAAGAAATGGTTTATAGAGATTTTAAAGTAACCATAAGTGTGTCAAGAGATCAGCTTCATGCATTTATGTCTATCTTGACATTCTCATTGAATTATTTCTCATTGAATTGAATGAATTCTCACTGAATTATGTTCTCATTGAATTACTCGCAGATCATAAAGTAGAGAGCATTTTATAAAAATTTATCCATGTATGGACTGTTACATCCAGGGGAGGTAACATATCTGGGCTTC